CATGTGTTACTATATTGCCTCCATCGGCTTATCTCTACAATCCTCTCTTAGGTTATTTTATGCACATAAAAATAGGATTCCGAGAAGGGGTCTGTAGATTTCACCAGACTGCCCAGGGCACACATACATTTACAAGAGCCTCTGATAGCTGCCCTTCCCTCTCTCCTCCCTCTGATCCATCCCATCTAAGGGAAGGAAAGCCTACAAAGTTCCATTTTCCTTCTGCAAAAGCACATGCCAGGGACGCAGGCTTGCAGAATGGAAAGCACAGAGGTTTGGAACCAAGCAGACTGGGTTGCACAATGGGCCCTTCCCCTTTCCGGCTCCATCAATGTGAGCAGGGCATTTTATTTATTTTAGCCCCGATATCTTAATCAGTATAAGGCCATAAGTAGTACCTGCCTCCTAGGGTGGCTGTGAAGATTAAATAAGGTAAGGTGTGTGCCTGGCATAGGTCCGGCGTGTCGTAGGCATTCAGAAATTGCAGCTTCATGACAGCCGTTGTTGCCGTTGCCCGCAGCCTCCACCGAGACTGCTCCCATTCCCCTGCGTCTCTGTGACCATGTCAATTGCCTGTGGCATCCTGGGAAAGCCCGGGAAGGTAGCTTGTTATGTTGACATGCATCCTCAGAAAAACTTTGGCTTGTTCAGAGTCCCTCTGCTTTATTATTTTTTTTCAAATATTCATAAAGCTTCTTTAATTTCCTTGCCTGTAACATTTGCTTCTGAATCACCTTGCTGTGTTAGTTTCCAAGGGTTGCCACACCAAATTACCACAAACAAGGTGGCTTAAAACAACAGGCGTTTGTTTATTCTTTCGCCGTTCTGGAGGCGAGAGTTTGAAATCAAGGTACCGCCAGATCCGTAATGCTGCCGGGGCACTAAAGGAGGGTTTTTCTTTGCCTCTTCAGCGTCTAGTCGTTGCGGGCAGTCTTGGAGTTCCCTGGCTTGGAGGTGCACCACTCCAATCTCTGCCTCCTCTAGGCCTTGTTTGTTTTTGTGTTTGTCTGGGTGCAAATTTCCCTCTATTGGTAAGGACACCGGCCATCGGATTGGGACCCACCTCATCCAGGGTGACCTCATTTTAACGTAATTACATCTACAAAGATCCAGTCTCCAAATAAAATAAAAGGTTGCATTCACAGGTATTGGGAGTTAGGACTTCCAACATCTTTTTCAGAGACACAAGTCAACCCACAACGCTCTGCCGTTTGACCCTCTGTGCTTCACTTAGGTCAGGCTTCTTTCTGTTTGGACATAAGTGAAATCGAGTTAATAATTCGCTTTCACTGTATTTTCAAAAATAATGTTTTAAAGTGGCTGGGCGTGGTGGCTCACACCTTTAATCCTAGCACTCTGGGAAGCTGAGGTCGCTTGAGCTCAGGAGTTCAAGACCAGCCTGAGCAAGAGCAAGATCCCATCTCTACTAAAACATAAGAAAAAAAATTAGCTGGGCAACTAAAAATACAAGAAAATGTTGGCCAGGCATGGTGGCACATGCTGGTAGTCCTAGCTACCCAGGAGGCTGAGGCAGGAGGATTGCTTGAGCCCAGGAGTTTGAGGTTGCTGTGAGCTAGGCTGATACCACGGCACTCTAGCCCGGGCAATAGAGTGAGACTCTGTCTCAAAAAAAAAAAAAATGTTCTCAAGTGCCTACCTGGAGGTAACAAAGTCTATATTGGCTTTTTGTTTTCATAAAGCGAAAAAAAGAAACTTTGTATAGGGAAACATGTAGTACTAAGGAAAGCACTTAAAAATATACAGAGAAGCAAGAGTTAAAAGGGCGGGGACTCCACTGAAAAGTCTGTTTACAAAAGTTTACGATTTGGGTGTGAATGGGCTGTTGAAGCTGATAGAGGCGGGATTGATCCACTGGACTGGGCAGAGCTGTGGCGTGGTCACGTAGGCAGGACGCCAGAGAACATGGACATGGTCAGCTGCCTGCTGCTTCAGTGTGTCTGTGGCCACCCCCTGCCCACGCCTGAGGTAGGTTCCCGGCTCCTTGGAGAGGGTTGGTTGTGGGCACGTGTGTGTGTCTGTAGATCCCAGTATAATCACAGTCAGACTGTACCCCTGGAGTGAACCTGGTAGCATTTCAGCAGTGTAGGAGTTTTCCTAAGGATGTGGTTTTGGACTGTCCGTCAAAGTTCAAATTTGTTTGACAGGGAATTTCACGCTCTTGTGGCTAGCTGTCAGTATTTGAATGTGAGCTTAAATCTGAGAGTTTCTCCCCATCCTACCTTTTATAATTTTGCTGGGAGTAAAATGACAAACATTTCAATTTTATGTATTATTCTGATACCTGACTTTTGCTATTGCTAGAACACCCAGTACTTTTCAGAGGGCATGTTTTCAACTTTTTTTTTTTTTTTTATCTTCAGTGGAACTGTATAAATACTGCAAGGAGAATTACAGTGGGTCTCTCTATGTGTTCCACTGTGCTGACGCTGAGGCATGACGTGTTAAAGGAATAATCCTGTGCTCTGTCCCCTACTGTATACAGGCCTGCCTTGAGCACACCTTCCCATACCCAGCCTCAGGCACTTCCTGGAATATTCCCTTATTTTGGGCACCACTGAGAAAAAGCAGGCTGCATATTGCATAAGTGCAAAAATAAAAACAAGATACCCCCCCAAAACACAAAAATAACCCCCAAAAAACTGCACGTACATTTGTGAGCAGTTAGATTTCTTGCCTGTGATTTTGTTGTACATCTGTTTTTCTAGCATGCTGTTTTTGAACCTTTTTATCCCAGGGTAATAACATAATTGGGTTTATTCTCTCGGTGTAGTGAAGTTGTGCCATTCGATTCAATAACTTATTTAAAGTATTCATAATAATCGTTTTCATATAGAAAGTAATACTAGCTTTTCCGTGATTTTTCTCGTATTTTCTGATGGTGATGTTAGGAAGGAAAAACTTCTCCTCTAGGATCAGTTCTTGGGGGCCTGTGAATTAAACTGACAAAGGATAGATGTCTATTCGTGTGTACGTGTGTGTGTGTGTGTGTGTGTGTGTGTGAGAGAGAGAGAGAGAGAGAGAGAGAGTTCGCAGAAAAAAGTGAGGCAAAGAGGCAGCTAGAATAGGAGGCTCTTGTACCATCTTAATAGGGGAGAGGGAGAGGGTAGGGAACTTAAGGGGAAACAAATGACTTTTAGGAAAGATAAATGGGCTTTTGGGAGAATGGATGAGAGATATGATGGTTTTGTGACAATGTTTAGGTGTGGGTTCTCCTCTCTTCCCTGGCGAAACAACTCCCAGGAGGGATTTATGGCACTTGAGTTCTTTCGGGAGGTTCTGCTTTTGGGCAGATAACGGAGTTCAGAAAAAAAAAACAAAAAAAAACCCTATTCTCAAATGCTTTCAGCTCAAAATCATTTTCATGCCACAGTGGCCTATTCTGGACCCCCTCAGCGGTGACAAGGATTAATGACACCACCCTGGACGGTAGGAGTCAGTAGATGGCAGCATCAGCGGAGGTTGCTAGGACAACCATTTTTGGGGAGCAGAGGTGATGATGTGGCATTTCGGGGGAAACTTCTGAAACGGAAATTCCAAGGCCCACTTTTTCGTGTCTTTGTTGCCACTAATTGAGTGTGTGGCCCTGGGCAGGTCACTTGGCTTCTTTAGGTCCCAGTGCTCCTAATGTGAGAATTGAGGGGGTGGAGTGGGGGACCCCTGGTTCCCTCCCTGCCTCCTCGCTCCTCATCAGTTCTTTGCCGCACAAGGTCTTAGCGAGCACTTAGACACGCCAGGCTGGAAGCCACGAGGCCTGCGCCACAGGTCTTAGGTCCCCGTTGTCACTGGCCATAGGTGTGTCTGCCTGGGCCACCACCACCCACCGCCTACCCTTCTTCAGGCCCAGCCAGTCCGGGGACGATCAACGCTGCGTCCCCAGCTCTGCGGGCCCCTCTGTCAGAGCCCGCCTTCCCGGCTGTTCTGGTTGTCCTCCCCGTGCCCGTGGCCCGACAGCCCTTTTTGTTTTTATCTTTAAATAAGGGACAGGGATGGAAGAGCTGCAGGTGCCCTGGCGGCCTCGCAGGCTCACCACTGGTGCCTGCCCCCGCTCTGCTCCCAGGGGGCTCTGGCCAGGCTCTGAGGGGTCTGCCGAGATAGCCCCAGCTCGAGGCAGGCTTGAACCCTGGGGACATTACTCTTGGGCACAGCTTTTCTTAAATCCTCTGATAAGGGCTATCTTATCACGTGGCATGTCATCCTTCCAAGGACCTGCTGTTTCCTAATGAAGAGTTGCAGAGTCAAATTGCAGAAGTTCAGTAACTTGCCTGGGGTTACGTGGGGTTACGTGGCCCGGTTCCAAGCCTCACGCTTCTTTCTAGCACATTGTGTTGCCTCTGAAACAATTACTTGAAAAATTAGAAAGCGTTGCCTCATGTAAAGCTCATAGAGTCTTGAGCTGGGGGTTTTTCCAGGCTAAACTCTGAGATGCGCTGTCCCCGTCAGACCGCTGCCCTGTGGCTGCGGCAGGAGCCAGGGGACCCCGAGTGCTGAGGGCTGGGTCCTGACGGCCGTGCACTTAGTCCTCTGGAAGCACCTTCCAGTTTTCCGCGGTGCGCACTGTTGCAAGGAAGGAGGTCCCACAGAGCCATGGTGGGTAGCAGCGCCCAGTCATTTCTCTTCCTGGCTAGCCTTCGGGTCCCCAGGCTGCTGTCCTGTATATTTTGGGGGACACCTACCCCTCGTTAACAAAGTGCATTTTATAAACTCACGATGGTGCTGATTTTCCCAACGTCTTTCATCGTAGACGCCATCATTGGGCGCCAAACATTACTATTTAATTTATGGTTTAATTCAGCCTAGAATGAAAGATGGATTTGGTTGTTTTAATCCAAATAGTTTCAGCTGTATTTTCACTTTCTATTACACACGTAACTGTTTTCAATAAGCAGAGCTGGGGTGGGTGGGTAACGCATACAGCTAGTTTCTTTTTTCTAACACCTACTTGGATATTTGCGCTCACCTAACCTGTTGGCGTTTGAAAGGTTGTCCCTGATGAGCCCTGGAGGCGAGGCTCGTCCCAGGAGGAGGAAAGGACGGAGGCCCAGAGGATCAGCAGGAGGAGATGGGGCTCTGGGCAGCGGCCGCGGCCCCGGCCGCTCTCCGACTACAGCCAGCTGGGCAGCCGCAGCCTGTCCATTCCCGAAGACTCCGTTGCGGGGGACCCCCCGGAGGAGGACCGAGCAGACGGGGACCCCCAGGCGAGCGCGGCCACTGCCAGCCCTGCAGACCAGAACGCCTCCCTGGGCTGCCCCCGAGGAGCACGGAGAAGACGCCCCATTTCTGTGATAGGTGGGGTCAGCTTCTACGGGAACAACCAGACGGAGGAAATAGAGACTCTTCTGACCCAAGTAAGACCTGGTGTGCGTGCGTCTCCCACGGCCGGCCGGCCGCCACCAACCTCCAGCCTCCTGGCCTTTGTCCCCCTGCGAGCTAAACGGGATGCTGCCTCTCCTCCTCCTCTCTCCCGCAAGGATGACGCCACCCACTCACTGCCTCTTCCTCCTGGCTTTGTTGAAAGCCGTGCATGGATGCAGACTAACCACCTGACACGGGACGCCTGCTACTAATCTTTCTTTCTTTCCTGGAATCTCAGTAATAGGTGAAACTCACTCGTTTGCTCTTTGTTTCTGAATAACTCGAGATTTTAACCAGCGGAGGGTAGCAGTGCATATCTAGTGAGCTTCCTCAAAGAAGTCATTCTTCAAAAAGAAAGTTGTTGTCCATTGTTAAAAGGCAAAGAAGAAAATAAGGATGTGTATTTTTTTTAGGAGATAAGAAAGTAATCTTTTCTGCCATTTTCTTTAAGTTGTGACTTTGCAGCTGGTTTGAAGATAGAGTAAACGTTTACCATTTGGTCCCTTGGTATATTTTAGTAATTCAGAAAGTATCAGGTACCCAGTGAGCACTTTGAGGATATAAAACATTTAATTAAAGGCCCTGTCTTGGAGAAGCTTATAATGTATTTGGCCAGGCTAATACCCTGGCCATGGTCAGGTGTTCACAGAACAGTATGTGAGTAATGTATATGCCCACGTTCATTTTTAAACCTGCTACCTGATGTCATAAATAACCTGTAAAATTCTCCTAAAAAGGAAATTCTATACAGCATTAGTAGTGGACCGCATGTTTATATTCTCCCTCTAAAGCCCAGTGGAGTGGTTTATAGGAGGCACTCAAAAACTCTTGTTTAATTCAGTTGAATTGAATTGAATTCTTAAGGTAAAAACAAATGGAGTCAAAGAATACCATGAAATCTTTGAGAACTTTTTTTGTTTTAAGATGCTCCACTTGCTAGGAAATAATTCTGAACTAAAGCAAATTGTAATCTGTTTTAACTCAAAACACGGCATAAAAAAGATCTAATGTGTTTAGAAATTATTTCACTTGAGAGCATCAAAAAGGAATGCAGTGAAATAATTTTCTGCGCTATAATCTAATTCAAGGAGTTGGGTGGGAAAATCCTAAGAAAACCCAAAGAAAGCTCAACCCACTGGGCCTCTGCCACGTAGTTACAGTTACTATGGAAAACCAGAAGGGCATTGTAGATAGTTCTAAGGAGAGAGACCTGGGTGAATGCATGAAAAACCAACTCTTCTTTTAAATAAAGCTCAACTGTCATGTCAGTTTAGTGAAGGAGGAATTGTCTTCAGGTCCACACACCATTATCAAGGGCCTGCAGGTGCCAGCTCGGTGGGAGGGTCTGCAGGGGGAGTAGAACCAGGCTGAGTAACAGGCGAGGACTGCAATCTGTCACCTGGCCGCGTCTTCAGCCCCTGGGCAGGCATCCTCCTAACCTCTTCCTCTGCGTCTGTGTGAGAACTCCACCGCTTTCTAAATTTACCTTGCTCCTCTCAGACACCTCGCTTTCACCTAGGGTTACCTATTGGCGGCGTGTCGCTGTCAAATGAAAGGAAGTTTGATGCCGCCAGGCCAGTGAGCCGATAACAATTGCCGTAGAGTAGCAGCGAATCGCCACTGAGCCTGGGTGCAGCCTGCAGCTCTTGGCAGGGCTTGGAGAAACCACTTCACATGTGTGAGTGGCTTCGAGGCGAGAGCGTTGTGCATGTGAGTCGCTTGCAGGAGCCGCCACTTCCTGGCACCTCTCACAGCTTTCTGCTTCCCTTCCGCAGCCAGCAGCCAGGCCGCCCGTGCCCGCTCACCAGGTGCCGCCCTACAAGGCCGTGTCGGCCCGGTTCCGGCCCTTCACCTTCTCCCAGAGCACCCCCATTGGGCTGGACCGCGTGGGACGCCGGCGGCAGATGAGAGCGTCCAACAGTGAGTCTCAGTCCCCCCCCCCCCTTCAGAAATTGCCGGGGAACCATCCGTTTGACTGTTTGTGGTTCGCCTAAGGTGCCCGGGTGATTCTGGACGTTTCGTGCGTCCCTCTGGGCCAGGGTGTTCCCTGGGAGTGAGGACGACGGCTCATGCCGGGAAGAGGGCGCTCTGCCAGCTGTCCGGGTGGCTGCCCTGCACCTGCCCAGGTGGCTCTGGGTTTGAGAACTTTGCTCCTCCCTCGGCGTCTGCATAGCTGAGTTCCAGCAGGTGACGATCCCAGTAGGAACTGAGTCCCAGGCTCAAAGTGTCAGCGGGGCTGGGTCTTGGTGGGGTTGTGCGGGAGGACCTGTTCCAGCCTCCCTCCCAGCTTCTGGTCGCCTCCGGCGCTGTGTGGCTTGTGGTTGCATCACCCGTGTCTGCCTTCATGTTCCCATGGCGCTGTCATGGCCAGATTTCCCTTTGTGTAAGGACACCAGCCTTACTGCGCCTGAGCCCACCCCGAGGACCTCATTTAACTTGGTCGGCTACAAACATGATGTTTCCAAATAAGGGCACACTCCGGGCACTGGGAGTTAAGGCTTCACCGCCCGCCATCTGAGGGGACATAGTTCAACCAAAAACATATACCGTGTTTGAAGCCTTGTGCAACACGTACCCATGCGGTCAAAGATTTTAACAGAGTAGGCAGAAATAAAAATAGATTGTGGGCGTGGTAGGAGTATAGGGGACTTCTCCAGCTCACCCACATGCACAAACAGCCTATTTTGTGTTTTCCCTAACACTGGTTTTTGCTTTTGTCGTTTTTAAAACTTTTTTAAATTTAGGAAGGATTCTTTTGTTGAAAAGCAGCAAAAACTGACCGGCTAGCTTAAGCAGAAGGGGCATGTGTGGGAAGGGTGTCAGGCACACCCAGAATCGGTGGGGTGGCTGGGAGCCAGGCTGGGAAAGGGCTGGCAGTCAGGCTGCTCCTGGGAGCTGAGGGCTGCAGGAAGGCATGTAATGGAAGACTGGCCACCTCTGGGTACAGGCGGGCCCACCCTGTCCTCTGTCACTCACCCAAGTGTCAACAGTCCCGGGATGGCGGAGCCAGTGCTCCGTGTCCACCAGCTGGCGGTGCTGGATCGGGGAGAAGGACTGGGTGCCTCCAGGGACCCCCGGCCTTTCACATTTGGAAGCCGCTGCCTGGGTTCCCTGTCAGCTGAGGCTGAGTACAGGAGAGGGGACGGAGGCCGTGCTCCCAGGAGTTGTGAGAGACACGGATAGATTCTGGATGGGTCTCACCTTTGTTCACTCATTTACGCATTCAGTAACTAGCTCACCCTGTGCCAGGTGACAGCAATGAATGGAAGAACAAAGCCCCTTTAATCACTGACATTCTAGTGAGAAGATCATAAATTAACAAGCATTTAATGGTATAGCAGACAGTGCTATAAACAAAAATAAATCCGGGCAGAGGCATGCACTTCCAAAGAGCGTCACCCTACCGTAACGAACCTGTCCCACAGATGATCGAACCTCCCGCCCTCCCCCCCGCCCCCATATCACCGCAGGGTGTCGAGGCTGGGACTCCCGGTGACAGCCATCCCTTCTCCAGTTCCCTGGCAACGTCCCTTCAGTGTTTATGACCTGAGGTGAATTTAAGCAACACACTCACTGTAATGGGAGGGGCGGAGGGAGGGAAATGAGAAAATTTGGGAGACAGCAGGGAATAAAGTTTACATTCCAGCATTTGAACAGATTCCGTGAGTCTGCACGTCGGATTCTCTTTGGTGCAGGTGGTTGCTCTGGGGAAGATGGCCCTGGGTAACGTGAGGGGGAAGGCCACTTCTCCGAGGAGGTGACGGTGACACAGGGGTGGAGAGTGGGGAGGTGCATGGGGGCAGCGAGGCGGGCAGGAGAAGGAGCTTCAGATGCCCAAAGTCAGGCAGGACCACGATGTGTCTGAGGTCCCCGAGGGGGCCAGCACGTGCCTGGAGCTCAGGGAGCACGGGGCGGAGGAGGACGCTACCCAGGGGTAGCTCCGCGTGGCTAGAAAGGGCACCGCAGGTCACGGGAGGAGCTGGGCGGTTCTACCCGTGGCGCAAAGCCGAGGCCAGCGGGAGGGCAGTGCGTGCCGATCCCTGCTTCCCAGAGGGAGGGCGGTTCTGGGGCGAAGGCAGAGGAGGGGAGG